TTCAGTTCAGTTTTAGTTTATTTTGAAGTACCCTGTGAGCTAAGAAGCACTTAAGTCGGGTTTCATCAATAAAAACCAGACGCCGTTTCCGTGACAGACATAACAGAGAAAAATAAATGAATAGTGCAGATGAATATTTTTTTAAAAAGGTAAGAAATTATTAAGTTAGCGTGGTGTTGATTTTAAGCTTTCGTGACTGCAGGAATCCATACTCTTTGGTTCTGTCGGTAAACCCCTGTCTCACGTGATGATGGACGCTTGTGTTGCGCCCGAAACCTCCTAATTTATTTAATCTATACCTATGTGACTTTACCGAAAGAACCAAAGAGTTTAGCGTGGTATGTTTTACCTTACTTACCTACCTAACCACCCACCTACGCATTCATGTCCACGCGCACTCGCAACGTCGTTATTGCAACTGATGTGTGTGTCCCACAATTCCTGGCTTCGTTTGTTAAAAAAAAAACTCCGACAGATAAGTATGAATGTGTGTCTTGAACAGAACAACGAGTGCAATATTCATCGAATGACTTGCTGATGCGGCTTCGATGTTTGGCGCACGCGGCATGATGCAATGCGGCAGCGACGTTTTGCTGAAGTTCACTTTGAATGTTCATGAGTTGATTTCGAAACGGATCAAATCTGTTGCTCACGTGGTCTTATTAAGCTACCTATTCGTATGGCAATTGACATTTTTTTTAACTAGTCATCAAAAAATATTTTCCAACGTTATTCTCACCAAGCTCCGTGGTGTGCGCAGTGCTCTCTCCAAATCTTCTAACTCTCTCTCTCTCTCTCTATTTGTGTGTGTGTGGCCTCTGTTTGCGTGCTATGAAGAAGTGCATTGCCCGGAACGTTGCCTATGATATATGTTTTTCCTTTTAAAGCCACAGTGTTATTGACGAATGTGTTGAGTTCATTACACATTTGCATTCATGATACGAGTTTTTTTGGGTAAGTTCGCGTAAATATATAAATGTGTCGTTTAAACCGCCACCACCCGACACAGCCAACTAGTAAGGTTTGTCACGTAAACAGAACGTGGCCAATTCGTCTCTAGTACAGCAGTGTGCTGGAGAGCTAGGCCACAACATTTACAATCTGAGGACGACGTTTCGCCAGTAATTACAACTAGCATCATCAGGCGGCCAGCCAGATTTTTAACGACACATTCATATTTACGCGATCTAACCCAGCCCCTCGTCCCCTATAATATGGATGATACGAGTTAAACTACACGTGCATTTGTTAACGTCTTGAAACCGTTGACTCTTGCCATCAGATCGCCGACATTTGTAGAAATTGCCCAGGAGTATCCTCATGACCTTTCTTTCTGGCTCCCCTGTAGTGTCGCGAGGGGGGGGGGGGGGCAGCGGACTGTCCTCCTCCACTCAGACCCCCCCCCCGAAGTCAAAAGGGGCCGTCCATAAATGACGTCACGCACCTAGGGGGGGGGGGGGGTCAGACATTTGTGACGATGTGTGACGGGGGGGGGGGTGAGAAATGTGACGTCACATCAAAATGCACAACTTTTGATAAATGTTTTTTCCTACAACATCAGAGTGCAGCGCCACATTAATTACGCACTACAATGACAATAGTTTAAAGCGATCTGAAGCATGTTTTTTTGGGGGGGGCAGAGCTTTGTGACGTCACATTTGAGGGGGGGTCTGACTATTTGTGACGCCGTGTGACGAGGGGGGGGGGTTCAAAAATCGTCCAAAATCACGTGACGTCATTTATGGACGGCCCCAAACATGTTGGTATGATCATTATTAGCAGCGGCGGGTTGTCTTCAATGATCGCTCGTTCGGCAGACGCCCATAATCATAACAAAAAACCTCGTTGTGCCCACGTCCCGCCTGCTTCAGTAGCGATGAACACTTAAACACTTAATACGCTCGCCTGCCGCCACTGGAGGCGTTACACATCGACAAAGGACTGTGCAGGCTTGCCCACAGGTGTGTGTGGGGGGGGGGGCACGTGCCCCCCCAATGATCCGATCGAAATCTCTAACTTCGATCGGGTCATTGAGGTTTATTGGTAGTAAATCGGCATTTTGCGACCCCCACTGCCACTGTGTAGCATAGTATTATGTGCCAGGGACTCGATGAGATGATAGGCTATGTCGTGCCCCCCGCTGGGTGTATATATATATGCCCCCCTAAACAAAAATAATAATTAGCACCGTCGTTGTGAAGGATACAAATATTAACGTCTGTCTCTGCACACGAAAAAAAGTAAAAGTGTCCTGTACACGACCCATCGGTGCCCACAGCCTTCCAAAGGTGAATGTCAGCAAGCATTGATTCGGCACGAGAAAACTCTGCACCGGTTTCGACGTACAGTGTCTCATCAGCAGAGTCTGGCTTGCTTAAATCATTGCGGGCGAACCGCGAGATGTCATCGGCAAGGACCCTCTCTTTAAGATATGGCTTCCCAGTTGCATGGTGCATTATATAATACATAACTCAAAAATATTCATTAATGTCATTGTGGAGAATATAAATAACGAAACAGATAAGCACAAACCTGTCTCTGCACACAAATGATCAATTATCTTTTTTTTTACACAACCCCATCATCGGCCTGCCATTCATCTCGAGAGTGAACTATTTCAGCGGCGTTGAACCCCTTTGAACGAGGTCACACTTGCGGGCTTTCCTCGCCTCGCTTGCCTGGGGATCTTGGCAAGGCGCACCTGGGCACGAGCCACAGAAAACATCCTCCAGTGCCGCGTTGTTTTTTTACCGAAAGCTTGCCAAACGACCGTGGATTTTTCGACCACGCTGCCCACGCCCGCCAGCGTTGTAGCCTTGCACGGGCCCATCTTCCCTTTGCCAACAAATACGGCTCCTGTGTCCGCCTCGAATTTATCACCGCTTGTTGATGATTGCGGACCAAATGAAATCGGGGCACGGAGAAAGGAAATCGACCGGCTCTCTCTCAAGTGCGCTGATAAATGTACAACGCAAACTACCAATCACAAAACGGTTTGGTCGAAGTTAATGGTTCCCATCCATAATGCCCTGTTTTTCACTCAGAGTACGCGACCGTCGCACAGAGATGCATATGCAACTGCGGAGATAACTCACCGGCGAGCTCTGAATCGCGTTATAGACTATGCGATGTGCTCTCAGGCCGTACCACGTGTCCGATGTTCCGTTCTGCTCGCTGCTGGGAGGTTGTTCATTTCATTTCCTCAAGGAGCTCCCGGTACAAGCAGTGAAACGTCGGGCATCGTGCCAAACAGCACCCCGAAAGTATATTGGAGAGCCGGAGAGCACAACCACAACAATTCTACGTGGTCATATCTAATCTTCATTATTCATGGATTTAATAAATTATAAGTGCTTGTTGGTCATAGCGGACTAATTCTGAAAATGTGTTTTAGTTTCTGCATTACTGATGAGTAATGTATTTTAATATATTTTTTAAGGTCCAGTGTTTAGTGACGCCTCGGAGAAAACATTTAACTCTTGCTCCATGGTTCATCTACACGCGTTAATTATTTTTATGAGAGAGAGATGCTGGCGGTTTTGGAAGGCTTTCATCAGAAGTGGATTGACCATGGCTGATGATGATTTTATTATTGCGCGTTGCATGATGGCATGTTTATCATTAAATGCTTAGTTGAATTTGCTCCTACGAATATGAATTTAAAAGTTAAAGTCTTAGTGATCCTGCTTTTTTTTTGCAAGCGTTTTTTGTGGATACTTTTTGCAGGATACATTACAGCTAATGAGCTATATGCTGCTATCTAATTAACGTAATTAGCCATTGCTTTATATTAAGTATTCAGAACACCATGCATATATAAAGTGATATTTGTCATATAACGGAACATTAACACAAAGTTTTCCTTCATGTAGTTGAATTTTGAGTGGAGGTAAACATTTTAATGATACGCCCAGCAACTAAATAACAACAAAACAGTAGCTCTAAAACGTGAATTATTGTAACGTGGTCTTCCAATCGTCATTCTAATTGTTACCGTCATTATCATCAGCCATGAAGGCATCCAAAAGCCACTGCCGCCTCTCACTCCAATGTTATAATCCGCCCAACACGTTCGCACAAGAGCTGAATTCATCGCTCCATTGGACCTCCTGTCGGTTGCAATCCATTCCTTGGCTGCCACTCGGTCATTATCCTTGACCATCGGAGACCATCCCTGGCCAATCCCACTTACCCGTCTCAGCGCTCTGAGTGACCTACTTAGCCTGATTGCACTGCCCGCTATTTCAAGGAGCAACCGCTGCTGATGATTTCACAACGACGTGCAGGGAAACAAAAAAGCATTGCCCCGCGAATGTTGATGCATTTCGCACCGCGCCAATGGCAGTTAGCTACAAGGGTTAAAGGCGCAGCCCTGCAATTGCTCATCGACTCTACTGGTGACGGAAGCGCCTCCACTAAATTGAGCTCTTAGACATCACCTCTCCAGTACATGGGGCCCACTCGCCACGCTGGCCAGACGTCTTGGAAGAGGTGGGATCACACACACTTTACCCCGCCGCACGCCACCTGTCGATCGACCATCTGTGGCCTTCCCAATTGTATCTGAAGTATTTTGAAGCTGATAATTGTTTTTTTTTACCCTTTTATCTGGCAACAAAACTGACACTTTATTTTTACAAGGAGTCATGTTTGCATTGACCACAATAGTTTTTTTGCATTCCAACCGCAGGTATTGTGGCCAATGCAAACATGACTCCGTGTAAAAAAGGTGTCAGTTTTGTTGGCAGATAAAAGGGTAAAAAACCAATTATCATATTTTGCTACTGCCAAAGGAGGTTCCAATGGTGGTATGTTGAACCTCTTTCGCACCGTACGTAGCCAACCGCGCTAATCGGAGGTGCATTTTCAATCGAGAATTAAACAAACATTAACACTGCTCGGTTGAGACCGAGGCTTGGACCGGGCGGCGGGAGTGAGGAGGAAAAACATGGCGGCACGTGGACGCGACCGGTGATTCCCTGGCGTTTGTGTCTCTGCAGAACATGCTGTCGCAGGCGGTGGAAAAGGAGACGCGCCACGAGTTCGCCCTCACCATGATCCAGTGCAAGGTGCGTCCAGTTCCGACCCCCCCCCCCCCATTGCTGCCCGAGACATCCCGCCGTTTCACCTTCATCGAGGGTCAAAACTTTGTTCGACATTTTTGTTTCATATTGTTCCTGTTGTAACTTTTTTTTATTGCTGTGAAACGCACAGGCCTGGTACAACGTGTCGATGGTTTGTTTGGGGGGGAGGAGGGGCGGGGGGTAGGCGGGGGAGGGGGGCACTGTCGGTGCTTGGCCGTGTCCACGTGTGGGAGGGGGGGGGTGTTCGTTGGGGGGAGGTGTTCGTTGGTGCCCTCTCTGTGGGGGTCTTCCATCGGTGGGGGGGGGGGGGGGTCCTGCCACGGAAACGTTGCTGACATTTAATTACCATCCTGCACCCCCGTCGTGCATAGTAGAGTCCCCGACTCGCATTCAAACTGACTCTCCTGCCTCTCCATGTATCCGCTGTGAAGTAGGCTCCTTGCCCGAAATGTCGCCGATTACGTATTTTTGTCCTTTCTAGTCCACACACATAGTTTCGATTTAAAGCTTTCGTGACTGCAGGGATTCATCTTCTTGGTTCATTCGGTAAAGTCACGTAGAAGGGAAATAATAAAATAATAAAAATAAATATTTAATAATATTTTATTATTTTATTTTATTTTTTATTATGTTTTATTTTTATTACTTTATTGTTTCCCTTCTACATGACTTTACCGAAAGATCCAAGAAGACACACACATAGTGTTATTGGCGAATGCGTTGAGTGTTTTTTGTTGTTGTCGTTGTTGCTAATTGTGCTTGTGTGTGGGTTGGCTGCATCTCTCGTCTGGCTGAGGAGCTCTTAGACATCAAATGTCGAAGCATTTAAAAAAAATGACTCCCAATTCTCGTTATCACCACGCAGAGCCCAAATTCAGACGCAATTGGAATCCTGCTGTTGTCATTTTCTTGGCCGGTTCTCCAAGCTCCTACCTCACTGCACCCAAGAGAATTCAACATAAAGAGGGCATCCGCATGCTATTTGCACACATTTTAAAAACGTTGTTAAACGTGCATTTTCGATGTGTGTTTTGTGAGACTGAGAATCCGTTTTAATTAATTACTTTTGCGAATATTGGCTGCCTACCTCGTGTGCGTGTGCAGTGTTGTGTGTGTGCGTGCGTGTTTTGGCTGGGTCATGTAGCCCGAATGCCCAGCCACCGCCTGACTAAACAGCTTTTGTTTGGCCGGATAGAGGGGGCTAAACGCGCGCGGCATGGGCTAGAGAAGAGATGGAGTGATGTGGTACAGGAGGATGTGGAGCTGAGTGGACTGGTGCCAGCGGCGCCAAGATCGGCCTTTATGAAGGCGGCTCCTGAAGGACGCTACTGGGCAGTGGGAGGCAGTCACCCTCCAGCAACAACGGAGGGCAGAGGAGCGACGCTCACAACAACGAGCGGAGCGCTGGGTGGCTAAATCACAGCAAGTTCGCACAGTAGGGGGCACAGGTGGTGCATCAGCCAGTCATCTCAGTCAGGCAACCCATGGCACCTGGGTCTGTCCCGTGACCTCCTGCCAGCGGACGTTCAACACTTCACGTGGCCTTAACGTGCACATAGCCTGGCACAAGCGCCGTGGGGACGTCACCGCCACTTCGTGGCGAATGACGGTTGCTGTTGTCGTTGTTGTTGTTGTATTTTCCCCAAGTCGACTTTCACCACCAACGTTGGCCGCGCTTGAACCGTTCACCAGGTGCTCAAGCAGCTGGAGAACCTGGAACAGCAGAAGTTTGAGGACGAGGACGTGGTAGAGGACATCAAGTTCATGCTGGAGAAGCTCGGAGAGAGCGTGCACGACTTGAGGTGGGAAAACGGAGCGAGAGCGAGAGAGAGACAAAGACACCCTCGGGCGGGAGATGGAATGAAAACGCTTTCACATCGGAGATGGAGATGATAATATTTTACGGTTTTCAATATTGAGATCGTAAAGATTGCAACCGTGCAAAAAATAAAAAAGCTTGTGCAGTCAATAAAATAAAGACAAGGAAACTGATGGCACTTAATAGCGCAATTATCTCTGCTCTCTCAATTTAAAGAGCGCATTTACATTTTTGTGAATATTGTCGCTCTGGCGCTCACTAACTGCACTTGTTACCAGCAAAATTAAAAAAATAATACTTCACTAGAACGCTGTCCTGGTGTCTCAGTGCCACTGGGACGCTTGTCAAATCTTGCCAGCGTGTTTTCGTGCAATTATCTTCTGTTAAATTACTTTGAGGAGCGTCAAGATTGTGTTTAATACGGAAGGGGAGCTGAAGTGCAACTTCCATAAATGTTTTACGAAGCACCTTTGTTCTGTCGCCGAGTTATCTGGCGAACCCAGATGCTCTCTTCGTGACACTGACACAGAGACTCGCGCGGACAAATCTATCACAGTGTTTCATCACCCCCCCTCCCCCCCCCCGTATGCACCGTCCACGTCCCACTGGGGCGCCGGTTCTAGATGGCATTACGACGACTCAGCTCGCAGGACGCCCTTTCTTTGCCCAGGGACGCCGTTGTTGTTTGGCTCGAAAACGAAAGCCCCCCCCCACTCCTCTCTCTTCTGGTGTAACTTGCACTGGGAGGAATACACTATGAGACCTCCTTTACCAGTGGCAAAATATAGTCGTAGGTTTTAACCCTTTCAACTGGTACAAAAACTGACACCTTTATACAAGGCATCATGTTTGCAATAACCACAACACAAGCAGTCAAAATGCAAGCAAAGAGAAACAACTCTGATGATGATAATGATATGCACTGTCCTTGAAGTTGATTGGTCCAACACCAATGGAGACTAGGCTCTAAGGAAAGCTGTCTTGGGTGTGGACCAATCAACTTCAAGGACAGTGCATATCATTATCATCATCAGAGTTGTTTCTCTTTGCTTGCATTTTGACTGCTTGTGTTGTGGTTATTGCAAACATGATGCCTTGTATAAAGGTGTCAGTTTTTGTACCAGTTGAAAGGGTAAAACCTACTACTACTGGGAGGAATAGTTTGATGGCAACGCAGCTCATGAATTATATAATTGCAGACCCGTTCACGGGCTTAGAGTGCAGGCGGTGGTGTTGGTCAATGCGAGTGTTCCAACGGTGAAAGAGGCTAATAATACTAATATTTTGTATTGGAATATTTGCGCTTGCGGATAACACTTTTCAGAGTCAGGGTTAGACACGAACAAATTATAATCGTATTTTCTCGAAACGTAACTAACGGGATGGCGTGGTGGCACATTGGCTAGCGCACGGCGCTACGAACCCGGCGATTTGAGCTCGACGCTCGGTCACGGCTAACATCGGTGGTGAGCGCCATCTGAACCGGTCCTGCGCAACCGCCCCCCTTCACCGAGCGACACGGCGTCGCGAGGTCTTCATTCAGCAGCAGATTCATGAATTTTAAAAAATTATCTTTCGTATGAAACAGACTCAGAGAAAACGGTGGTTGGTGTCATTCGAGCGTCTAAAAAGGGATGGTTGGTACAATTGGAGGTCGACGGTTCGATTCAATCTCCCGGTGTGTAATTTTAAACATTGGGCATATTTATTAAATTGCCTCCTGCCCCTCCCCGCCGCCACCTGCCCTCACCTCTGTCCAAAACAGCAGCATGAATAGTGACACCGCAAGGACACGTGCGGCTATTTTCTCCTCCTTGGCCGAAGAACGCCCAGCCTAGCGTGCAAGAGTGGGCCGACGGTCCACACGGCTCTTCTGGAGGCCCTCCCACCAGCAGCAGTGGCACGATCAAGCAGCCGCAGGGCCCCCTACTCCCTTACCTCCGCCCTCGTTTTTGTTTTGGCAGCTCGTTCGACGAGTACTCGGCGGAGCTGAAGGCAGGCCGGCTGGAGTGGAGTCCCGTGCACAAGTCGGAGAAGTTCTGGCGCGAAAACGCCGCTCGGCTCAACGAGAAGAATTACGAGCTGCTCAAGTGAGTGACGGGACGAGCTGAAGCCTCGCCCCCCCCCACCCTCCCCTGCGTTTGTGCCTCGTGACGGGCGAAGGTGGTAATGGGGCAGAAGATTGCCTCTTGCCATGGCCGTGTTGTGTAGTCCGAGTCCTTTTTGTCTTGCTGCCAGCTTAATGTTAGTGATTTAGTCAGGTGCTCCAAGCAATCGAATGCCAGCTGTCTGCCCAGTTGGCACGGGGGCGCTATGCGTGGGGTAATAGCTGTGCGCACTTGGCCATCTGCGCTGCGGGGGACGGTTTTAGTTGAGCCAATTAGTTGGTTTCATTTCCGATTTATTTGAGCACAGTATGCCAGGTGCCCGGCACCGCACACACATTGTGCTTCTGCTCTTTGCGAATGTTTTCGTGCCAGAAACTTTAACGGCAGGAATACATGTATCCTAATTGTGCAAGGCCATCGAGGCTGTCTTCCTGTTCCCGAGGTTTGCACTCAATGTGCATGGGGAAAAGTATGTGTCAGGCTTCTGGGATTGTGCCTCTCCTCTCAACGTGGACGCTTTTGGTGTACAAGCCAACTTGCGGAGAGTGTCGTTGTAACGTATTCATATTTACACGCTGCTCAAGACCCCCCCCTCTTCCCTCCCCTCTTCCTCCTCCTCCTCTCGTGCTATGCATCTGTACCTCGACACGGTGACTCTCTCTCTCTCTCTTTCTCTGTGTGTCTATTGACTGAGATGCATTCTTCAACTCAGTCGGCAAACATCCGGTAACTGTCAAGCGGGTTTCTTTAAACTCGCCTTGCCTCCAGATTAACAGGCAAACGAATGAGAGCAGGAGACGGGACCACAAAAATAACAAACTTGAATCTTGAGTGGCAAGCTGCCACGTTTAAGCACGTCCGTGCGTGGGTTTGTGTCTCTGTGTGTGTGCGTGTGTTGCTGGCGATCATTAAAACTCGAAGAACAGTTTCAAACTTTCTGAACGGGCAGCTGCTGCATCTTGGTAACAGGCTTAGGTAGTGGTTAAGCGATGTTCTTTTCGTTTTTTTGTCACCAAGCAAAAAATGCTCGAGTAAAACAATTAGTTTCATAACAAAACATATATCTATATATAGTTTATGGAAGATTACGCGTGGATTAGTTGATAAAATAGATTGCTGCCAGACTACACAATGGGGACCTCATTTGCCAGTAAAAATATGATAATTGGTTCTTTACCCTTCTATCTGGCAACAAAACTGACACCTTTTTACAAGGAGTCATGTTTGCATAGACCGCAATACCTACAGTCATAAATACAAACAAAAGACATAACTCTGATAATGTGCACTGTCCTGCCAGACTGTTGAGATATCGAAGGCAATAACAGGGTCTGCTGCACCAAGCACTTGAAATTTGAGTAAGCAGGTTACGAGCAGCATAAGCCTTTCCTGAAAACAAAGTGATAAACTGAATTTCTGCGTGTAGGCGAAAGTATATTGCCCATGTGAATGTGTTCGTTCATTGCGGATCAATCATTGAAATGATCATTGAAACGATTGATCCAAACATTGAAACGATTTACTACTTAATCTGGCCTATCTGACCAGTGTGGAAGAATAGGCCAAATACCTTATAGAAAGGCTCCCTTGAGCTTTCTAAAGTGGAGGTCATTCCAACAGCAGTGGCATGGACAAGACATTGCAGTGCTGTACCTTTATCTTTACTATCAAGCCATAGTGTATACGTGAACATTATAAGTTAGTTATCTCATACATGTCACCCATACGGTTCACCCGTATTCTTGTACAGGGAAATTGAGTTTTCAGGTCCATACGGCGTACAGCCGTTTCAATACAATGTTTGTGTTTCTCACTTGTGATGGGACTTTGTAGGATGAACGTTGAGATTTATAAGGACACGGGGTGACCAATAAGGTCTGAATTGCCCTGTAATAAGGTAGGGCACTGATAAGGGGTTGACAGGTGTGTTATCTACCTGAATATCAAGATGTCATTATGGGGGAGAGCCGTTTGTGCGATATCCCCGGTCAACAATAGTTGGAGGGAGGAGTGGTTGCAGTGGCTAGAGCATTGTGCTATGAACCGCGGTGACCTGCGTTTGATTCCCTGCCATGGCTCAGAGTGATATCCCAAGCTGAACCGGTCCTCAACTTCATAAAATCTCACTGACCAAAGTGTTGAATTACGGTAAAAAATTATTCCTGACGGACAACAAGAGGGAGGCCTTACCCAGCTGTGGATATGAAAAAGGCTGTTAATTGGTATTCATTTATTTATACAATATGTGTGTGTGTGACAAAACACGTAATTAACTGGCATTAATCAATGGTGGTTGAGCAATTAATGCTGATTATTAAAATGCATTTCCTCTTACGAGTGGTAAATAATGCATATTCATGTGCACTGCGGGCGACGCACTCCCAGTGATGATCATTTATGCGGCTTTAATTTATCACTATGTAACACCATTTTTTTCCGGGTATTTTTCATTGCTAATGCCTAAAAAGTATAAAAAAATGGATATTATTTCCCACAAACGTTGCTTTTGGGACCAGGACTTTGTGAACGAAAGACACAAATGCGCACGTTTTCTCATTGAAAATCGGTACATTTAAAAATATCACTGTCCTGGTGCAAGTGCTGTTCGCAAGCGTCTGTGAAAGCCGGCAGGGCGCACGAGGTGCTGCTGCAGGCTGCAGGCTGCACCACACCCAGTCAGGTACTCATTTAAGGTTGAGTCGACCGAGAGAATGTCCAAAACCGGGACTCACAGTCGTCACTGAAGTCAGCCGTGGCCAGGAACCAAAACTCCAGGGTGCCAGGCTCGTAGTGCCGTGCACTAACCGCTACATTACCGGTTCCCCCACGCATACACACGCATGAGTACACACGTACACACAAATGCTCACTTACAAATAGAACAGCAGAATGGATTTTAAAGAAATCTATTTAATAATCTCGTGCGACGCTGCTGTGCTATTAACGGCTAACACACTGGACTTGCAATCGAGAATTTTGCCGGCAGTTGGAACGGCGACGCCATTTTCTTGAATCTCCGCTGCCTCTGAACAAACCGATGGAGCGAGTCGATTGGCAGGTCGCGGGCGATGGGGGCAAAAGTGTGGCCTGCACAGAAGAATAGGCCGACAATGAGCTCTAGAAGGGCTGTCTAGTGCTCCCTCTGTTGGAGGTTCTGTATTATTTTTTTTATAGTTTGTCTAGAACTGCTTTTTGTGTTTAGTTTATTGTCCTTTTCCCACGTCACCTGTGCCAGGCCAGGCGCACTTTGAGGCCACGTGAAGTGTCGAAGGCTCGCTGACAGGAGGAGGAGGTCTCGGGACAGATCCAGGTGTCATGGGTTGGCTGACTGAGACGAATGTTAGATGCACCCAGCTGTACCCCCTACTGTGCCTATGTGCCCCCATAGCAGGGGGCACAGTTCAACCTACATAGACACGTACATGCACCAGCAGTGGCGCGGGCAAGCAGTTGCAGGACTGCACCTTTTACCCCCTTGGTCCATTTGCTCGTGAAGCCACCTGCCTTGCCTTGGACAAACGAGCACAAGCTCCCCCCCCCCCCCGCCGCCCAAGTGTACCGCGAGGAGCCAAAAAAAGGCAGACCAGATCAATTTGTTTTAATTAAGCCAGCAATAAAGAGTCCCATGTAATGTGATTTGAAGGTGGTAGCGGCATTATTGTGTGAAACATAAACTTCAGAATATCGTTGAAATAAAACCTGGGAGTGGCACTTTCTTAAAGGGGTGTCGCGCCATTAATCGCCCGCGCTAAATAATTTCGGCCCAAAAAAAGTATTTCTCCAAAGTGTTTATTTCACTGTGTAATTATTCCAGTCTCCCCTTTTAAAGTTTTACGATGCCCAGAGGCGCTGCAAAGGTTTCAATTTATAACTTTATGTATGGTTTCTAATCGTCAAACACTGAAAACCACCTAATTAATGCCACTTTAATTAAGAACAAATTGCCACTGTAAAGACAGCACCCAGTAAAAAAAGGTGAGAATGTCATTTTGTTACGAATTGCTAGTTGAAGTGAAAGAAACACACGGCGAGAGCGATGAGGGGTAATAACGTGACCGTACGTATAATGAGCACGAGCAAAAGTGGCTTGCACGCATTTACATATATAGTACATCCCCGTTTCCAATGAAAAACATTTTAAAAATGTGCGTTGCTAAAACGCACCCTTCTACAGCATTATAACATTTCTTTAATAACGCCATAAAAATATTACCTACCCGCCGACCTCGGGAGCTTTTCATCCTAACGAGCAATCACATTTGTATTCCTGTGGCGACATCGTCGCTAACGACCTCAAGTGAGCATAGTCGACCCCGGCAGTAATGCGAAACGTCAGACGTCGCTCATCGAGATGGACACACACACACACATTTATATCTCTCCCGAAACGGTTGTCATTCATTTCTGTGTTGTTAATTAATTACAAAAAAGGCAGCAAACCGACTCGGTAATGGAACGTGACCCCGGGTATAATCTGGAACAGACTTGTCAGCCGATATTTGCATTCGGCCGACACATTACTATTACGGATCCCGGGACGGCGCATACCTTCGTGTGTATTAACATTTTGACCCGTGCTGTGGCCGGTGACGGTTTGGCGCGTGGCGTTTCGCATCGCCGCTCCTCGGCTCGTTTGAAAGTCGTAGGTGTCTGCGTACGACGGGATTAAAGTGCCTTTCGTTTCAGCAGACGGGAACTCGCCCACGTTCACTCGCTTAAGCTGAACACCTGGCCGCGGCGACAGGCTGTGTCTGATGTTGGGTTCCTCAGCGAGTCTTTGAGAAACGTGGAAATGTTCGTCTGCAACGGTTGGCATCTTTACGGTGCTAAAGAGTTCTAGATTAGAATCTTTCGTGACTGCAAGGATTCATACTCTTAGGGTTTTTCGGTAAAGTCACGTAGGTAAAAAATAAAAAAAAACTTTAATTAAAATTAATAAAAGTAAAATAAAAACCACGACGTTTCGGAGGCAACACAAGCTTCCGTCTTCAGGTGGAACCGTCACAGTACGCTTGCAAGTGTGTTGCCTCCGAAACGTCGTAATTTTTATTTAACTTTTATTAAAAAAATGTTTACCTACGTGACTTTACCGAAAAAACCTAAGAGTATGGTGCTAAAGAGGTTCAACATACGTACGTGGATTATTGCGCGCCGAACATGGTGGTTCTGGAAGTGTAATTCGTTATCTCCAGTGGTTAACACACTGCGTGGTGAAAATTAACCTGGCAACCTGAGTTTCGGTTCCAGGTAACGGGTAACATCAGTGGTGGTTGATATCTGAACCGGTCCTGCACCCCTGCCCGCCCCCCCCCCTCCTCATACTGACCAGCGTGGTGAAGTATGGATTAACAAAGGGGATTAAATAATTGCAATCAGAAAGGCCCTCACGTGCATGCCCCTTGGAATTTTATTCCTGCGTATGGCACCAATACGTTTCGGAGCTAGATGCAAAGGTCTGCTAGCCACGAGAGGACTTCGGGAGAGATTTCGTGTATGTTTTGCGGTTCCTCCAACTCTGTCGAAGGAGCTCAGACCACAGCGGTTTACTGCGTGATCCATAGCTCGGATTGCATGCCCACAATCGACGTAACTCACGCTTTTGTGCCTTTAAAAAAGCGTTCAGTGCTGATCACTGATATAGTTTCAGAGGCTTGGGCTAAATCAATTCTGCTGCAATTATTCACTCCCAGACTGCGTGGGGAATAATTGGTTGGGTAAATAATACTTCGATTGTTGTTGTTGTTGTTTCATTGCGTAGAGACAGATGCATGGAGGCGACGTGTTGTCTGCCTATCCTCTCCTCATAATCAACGTTTTTGGGTTTAGATCGCGTTATTTATAAATGTGTCGTAACCCTCCACCACCCGACACGGTCAATCAGTAAAAAAAGTGTCACGTTGACAAAAGACAAATAGTTCACTGCTTTAGCCCACCGGTGTGTTGAAGCCACAACATTTACAGTACTCAAATTGTAAATGTTGTGGCTTCAACACACCGGTGGGCTAAAGCAGTGAACTATTTGTCTTTTGTCAACGTGACACTTTTTTACTGATTGGCCGTGTCGGGTGGTGGAGGGTTACGACACATTTATAAATAACGCGATCTAAACCCAACAACGTTGATTATGAATAACATTGGTCGCGAAAGCCTACGTGTTAAACTATCCTATCCTGTTGATAAATTCAAAGAGTCGATGAGTCTCGAGTCCCTCCTGTGCGGCAGCCGGGGGAAGATGGGCGCAACGCTTAAAAAAAACAACATTGCCCCGCACGAAAGCTCTCCGATTGTGTGCTCGTGTGGTGCCACGCGTCGTTCCGCGTGATGCACTGACACCGCGTTCCACGTGCTGGCAGCTTCTTCGTCGGCCAAACATCTCGATGTCGGATCACAGGGGCCAGTTTGCCCCCTTGATTGGGGTGCTGTCGCGTCGAACTCGGGCTGCTTTTCGAGGAATTTCTGTCCCGTCCCCCCCCCCCCCCCCTTCGTTCGGTGACCAGAGCTTTAAATCAGGCTCGTGTTGAGTTGAAAGAAAAACAATAAAAACAAAAGTATATACGTACATATAGGACCACGGAGCTTGGGCAATTGTTGGGTGCTGGTTTTAGCTGCCTTCCAGCGCTTCTGAATCTTTCTCTTTCTTTCTTCCCCGTCTGAAAATGAACGACAACGGCGCACGGTACACATTCTAAATTATTGCTATTCAGGATCTGAACTGAATTGCTGAAGAAGCTCCCAGCCCCTGGAGCAAACTCGTGGTAGAAACCCGAAATCGCAGAGCCGTACAGTGCAACAGCGAAAATATGCACCAGTGGTTTGTGCAATAATAATGAGCTAAGGCAAACGATATGGAGTTTTTATATATATCTCATAAAATGTAACATGCACTGTATAGTAACGTCAATGTACCACGGCGTGCTGGTGCGCTGGGGCGTTTCTAATGTGTCCCATGACACACGTGTTTATGCGTTTCCGAGCCGGCAAGACCATTCGTCTGGTTGATTTGACCTGGAGAGTGGCTTTGCGCGACCCGCGGCAATAAAAATAAAGATCAGTTTCTTTCGACCTTGATCTAAACACTGGACAGGTGATGACTTTTAGGCCACGTGGGACACCATCACTGCCGGCGTAGCCCCGGCACGGAGCCCACGAATTCAAGGAAGCCGGGGAAATCTTGCCGCTGCTTAGCGAACGAGTTTTCCCGGTGGCTGTCGGGTAGCTCACGGGTGGGATCTGCAAAGTTGGGCTTCCACTTCACGGATAAGAGGAGAACGATGGCTACGTTAAATCTACGCAACTGCCGTCTCCTCTACTCATCACATCTGGTTGAGAATTGACGACGTCCACTTCACCATAGGTGACGGCTTTTGTCAGCATTTAAGGTAACATGAAAGCACGTGACAGTTGGGGCGACCGCCACAAGGGCCACCGTCTCCCACCCACTGCTGCCGCCTGACTCGGCACCGGGATTAACCAAATATCAGCTCAAATTCAGGTCCTAATAAACGGAAGAAGTCAATGACATAAACACTAATTCATCTCTCTCGTCTATATCGTGTCTGCAGCTTTCATCTCACTTGGCTTGCATTTCGCTTATCTTGCTTCATCGCTGTCTCTTACCTACATCTATTGTGTCACCTCACTTGGAGTTCATAAATTGGGAGGAAGCAGAGGACTCGGCCCAAATATAAGCAACACTCAATGCCTTCATTGGACCAGCACCACCACCGTTCATCAGCATACCGAGTATTTATGTCACTTTGTGGAAGGGATCAAATCACAGACGTAAAACCCCATAGATTCTTGTCTAAATAGTTTCTGGGTGACTCTTAGCCATATGCAGACATTCTGAGGATGTCTGGATATCCACATCACCCATAACACCCACGGCACCCACGGCACCCACGGCACCCACATCACCCACATCACCCATAACACCCACATCACCCATAACACCCACGGCACCCACATCACCCACATCACCCATAACACCCACATCACCCATAACACCCACGGCACCCACGGCACCCACATCACCCACATCACCCATAACACCCACATCACCCATAACACCCACGGCACCCACGGCACCCACATCACCCACATCACCCATAACACCCACATAACCCATAACACCCACGGCACCCACAACACCCACGGCACCATCAGTACCCATGGCACCTATCGGTACCCCCAACACCCAGGCCCCCCACGGCGGCTGTACAGCTGACACTGACGATTGCCGCACCTCGCCTGGCTTCGGCGTCACTCGTGTCTCCTGTTTCGTTTTCTTTTTTCTTCGCGTCGGGTGCGGCAGGATTTTGAACCACCTCCTCCAGGCATTCCGACGATCCGCAGGTGCTGAGCGTGGCGGCGCACGACATCGGGGAGTACGTGCGACATCACCCCCGCGGCAAGAAGTGAGTGCTCGCGGCGCCAATCACATACCCACTCATCCTTTCCTTCCACACCCCCGCAGTCCATGTCCCACCTCACTCCGAATGGATGTTTCAAATAATAACAATTTGGTACATTTTGTATCCGCGCCATTCTTATAGTGCAAGGCTATCAACAAAGGCGCTTGCGATTCATCGTCGTAGCCTGCAGTGATTTCACAGTAGGGGCCACGACGCTGCGCACAATCCCAATTGAGTAATTTGCGGTGCCATTTTTTTATCGAATTTGTCAGATTTGGACCGTGACGCCCGGCACACAATGGCCTGCTCGTTTTCAGAATGACGTCGGCGGATCTTTACCGTCCAATGAGTGGCAGACTGGCGCGGAGCGTTTTACGGCGAACGCACACGCACCACACTAATAACCAGCATGGCCTGCCGAATTCTAACCACGAGCTTCTGCAACAAACGGCGAACGCCGCCGCCAGGGCCGCGTCGCCGCCAAAGGGGGGCGAACGAAAACCTCGGTGAACGTAACAAAATAAACTTCAAACAAATGTTGAATGCACAACAGAAGGAGTGACGAGGCGATCTGCTTTTGTCTATCGCGTATTCTGCTCGAGCTCTCGCTCCCCCACCCCGCCCTGTGCATTTGAGGAAAGGCGATAGTGACGCACATCGCTTAATTGTTCTATAAGCGCTCATAGGATATCCTTAATATCCTTACAAGTGTAGCCCCTCTAGTGGCTGCAGGCGGGCCTCTGAGCGTTTGCTGATTCACTCAACCGAAGCAGATGTGCACGGGCGTATGTTTTACGGTGATGGGCGTTCGCCAAGTAGGTGACCTTTGAAGGTAAACCAGCCAGCGGTGTTAAATATCATACCAACACCTTTTGACTTGACTATGGGAATCCATGGGGGTGCCACGGTGGACGAATTGTTCAGCTACCTCACCTGGTATACAGAAGGTCGTGGGTTCGATTCCAATCCTGACGGTGCTATATTTTGAGTTGGCATGTTCTCTCCGTGGCCGAGTGGATTTTTCTCCGGGTCCTCCGTTTTTTGCACTCCACATTTAGAATGCACTTGCGTTTAGAGTATTTGACTTCTTAAAAGTTACCCGTGATGAGCCACTTTGTTGAGTTGTCATTTGTGGCCAGGTCACATCTGGAAAGAGCTATACAGCTCAGTGTGCAGTGGGCTGTACCTAGTAAAATAAAAAAAATGGTTTAATAGTGTTATAGATGGGGGAGCTCAGAATGTTACCACCCAACCAAACGCGATATGGCAGCCCTCCGTCTTCGCCGCACAGGCGAGGAGGAGTTTTTGTGCGGGAAGCTTCATCTCACAGTGGCGGCTGCCGTGTCATGCACTGCTGCTGCTGTTGCCGCCATTCGACCTCATCGTTTTGATTCCCCTCCTTAGCAAGCGGCAGTGTGCTGTGTGACATCACTGAACGATGGGGTTATTAAGTCTTAAATTATAAATGAGCGGCAGTGGGTTATTTTTTTTTTCGCTTGGAAAAGATATATGCTGTATATTAAAAACATGTCCTCCTACTTGTTAGGAGAAAAATAAAAAATAAACCTCAAGTATTTTTTCCACTCAATGGTGTGTGCTTTCAATAAATCACCGCCTCACCTCGTACGAAGGGATAATTTGGTGTAACGCCAGTAAAAAAAAACATTCTGTTTTTCATTCGTTTGGTTTACATACAATATTAAGCAACCTCGTATTGAGATAATTGCTTTAGCACGTAGACTCCTGGCAACGAATGATCAGATTGGCGGCCGGGAGTGACTAAAGCACGGTGCCACGTATTGCGTGCGCTGCAGAGGAAGCCCATGCCGTGGTGGCATTTCGCTCGTGACAGACGATGACACCGCGATGTTTCGTTAATGCGGATCGCGACCCACAGGGCAATCGGGGACAGTGACGGCTCAGAATGGCTGAGGTGGCCCAGATGGCTGAGATGGGTTGGTTGGTACCTGGGATGGCTGGGATAGTGCCTAGGATGGCTGGAATAGCTGGGATGGCTGCAATGGCTGGGATGGCTGAGATGGCTGGGATAGCTGAGATGAGGATGGCCAGTCTCGGATCTCCACCTCTTCCTGTCCCTTGTTCCGTGTAACACGCTGCACATCGCCTGTCCACGTGACACGAACCTCCTCGTCGTGTTGTCCACACACTCACTTCTCCGTCTCGCGCTCGATCTCTCGCCCTCAATTTACCGGTCATGCGCACACTTGCCAAGCCCTCTCACCTCAATCGCGTGTCCCAAAAACGTTTCCCCGCTTATCGCTGGAACGTGTACAAGTGTACGATCGTTGTTTTTGCTCCTTCTGTTATCTTACTGTTTTCGGTATTCTGCTTAGAATCCACGTTTTTGTCCGAAGAAACTATTGTGCTTACTCTTGACTCAATACGTTTCACAGCTGTTGGGCAGTGTTGGCCAAATGTAACTTTTTGTCAACCTCATCTCATGGGCACATACAACCTTATAAGCAGGCGCCAAACTACTTCCCAAGCACAGGCACTACATGGGCTTTGTGTTTTTCAATGCTCTCCAGTTAAGCATTCACACATTATCTCTGTCTGTCTGTTACATGTGATCACTATAGCATGTGTAAAGATGAATCAATATAAATGAAATGTTAAGCAAATTCTGTGACGCTGTTAGGAACTTACGCCGTAAAAAAGACGGCCACGTTTATCAAACAATTTCCCTTTGATCAAATCGTGAGATTTGTACGGTGAAGTTGCCATTGCTAATTGAATAGTCTGAGGATAAAGCGTTAAAGAATGCTTAACAAATGCATGATTTTGTTGATTACGCTATGGATATCCATTACCAACCGGTAATGAATATATATTGTAATTTATATGCATTCATTAACCCCCTTCCCCCCTCTGGTTTTCCCACTTGATTGGCCCACAAGTGACGACATCACATTGACCACCACCTCTATTTAAGACCGAAACAGGAGGAGGATTTCTCCACAACTCTGGCTATCGCCTGATGATGCTGGTTGTAATTACCGGCGAAACATCATGCTACTCGAATTGTAAATGTTGTGTGGTTACTCTCCAACACACCGGTGTGCTGAACTAGTAACGCATTGGCATGTTTTGTTTACATCACAAACCTTACTTATTAGCTGTGTCGGGTGATGGCAAATTTAACGACACATTTATATTTATGCGATCTAATAAATAATAAACCTCTATTATCGCGTGATTATGCTTCCCTGTTTTATCTTTGCGTGCGTTCCGTGCTACGTTCAAATGCTCGGGCTGTTGATCCGAAAGTCATGTCTACTGTCTCACTCTACTCTCAAACATTTCACCAAAAAGCTTATTCCAAACTCTTCCGAATCGTATATGTGTAAATGCGTAAACTAACATGGATATATTATTTTATTCGCATGTTCGGCGTTTTGTTCACTGCTAGATGGATGGCCTATCCATGCGGTGTGGGTGATGGGGGTTGTTTGGCCATACTTCACCACGCTGGTCAGTGCGAGTTGGCGATAGCGGGGAGCATAGACATAGGAGCATAGAAGTATTATACAACAACGGATTTTGCTGAATTATAATATTTTGCGAGGCCACAGGATAATTATCTTGCCAAAAGTGTCTTCAATCTCCACACCGTGCTCTGTTCACCCAGCAGTATAAACGGGGCGCCATGTTCACGACTTCACCTGGCATACAGGAGGCTGTGGGTTCGATCCTGAGCCCTGACACCCGTATATTTGGGGCTTGCATGCTCTCCCCGTGGTCGCGTGTATTTTTCTCTGGTTCCTCCGGGTTTTCCCTCCACATTTAAAAACATGCTTTTCGAGTATTTGGCTGGGAAACATGTGCACGTGATACGCCACTTTGTTGAGCTATCATTGTGGCCAGGTCGCTTCTGAAAAATAACTATACAGCTCTTCTTGGTTCTTTCGGTAAAGTCACGTAGGAGGAAAAGAGTCTGAATGGCTCTGCCTTCTCGACAGACCTGTTCTCCACCTGAAGACGGCTGCTTGCGTTGTGGACGAAACGTCGTGAGAATTATTTTATTATGTTGTATTTTTATTATTTTATTATTTTCCTTCTACGTGACTTTACCGAAAGAACCAAGAAGATGAATCCCTGCAGTCACGAAAGCTTTAAATAGAAATTTAACTATACAGCTCAGTGGGCATTATCTGGTAAAATAAAAAAAAGTTTAGTTCAGGCTACACTGCAGTTCATCGGTTCTGCAAGTTGCTGGCTGGTGGAGTCAAGTGTGGGCACTGCTACCACTTCCAAAACGTCTGACCTGCATGGAAGATAGGTCCAAAAAAACGTCTAAGAGGTATGGCACAAGACAGAGGAAAGTGGAAACATATTACAAAATGTGCAGTGCATACCTACGGGCAATCTGCCCATGGATAATAATGAAGGGGTCTGTCGACAGTTCCCTATAATGGAGGCACCTTCCGCCAGCAAGTGGCGTCAGCTCCCAAATGCACGGCATCGTCATAACCAGACAATTGTCTGGTGAAAGCTTTTGGAATGACTGCAGTTGAAATGATTAACGGTCGTTTACACGCAAGCCTTTTTTCTTTGACTTGCATAAAATTGTGGCTTTTCCCCGCCGCCGTGCATTAATATAATTGGGTAATTGCGGGAGTGTCGCACTGGCAACCATCACGTCGCCTGCAAGGGGATGATGAGGACCTGAGAGCCGCTACTCCCAGACGAAGGGTCACGTGGTCGGGGTCTGGAGGCGTTTGCTGATCTTTGTTCTGTGCTAATATAATGCCGGACGTTGCGGAGGGCAGTTTACAATGCAGCGTTTGCAGGAGATGCACTTGCTAATGCTGCGCTTATCGCAAATTCTAGAATTGCCTAATTATACGTCTAGACACTGACGAGTCTGATCGGGCTGCAAAATAATGTTTTTATTGCAAACGGCCATCGATTCCTGCTCGCAAGCTCTATCACATTTCTACCGGATGCAAGCCAATTTTTGGATTTATCAGAACGTTCGTTAA